AATACTACAAGAGTGGTGTGCCCTTCTCAATGGGTCACTGATCAGGAGCTACATGATACTGTAGTGAATGATTTCTAGAGATATTACCCTTTACCAGTTGATTAATCTCGTGTCTGATGGGTTCTTTAACTTCACTCGTTTTCCATTGTATTATCAGTATTTTTGGAAGCTATTTTGGTACTAGGAAATACCTTGTTTCACCTTTAACCCATTAATCTTAGCAACAGTGTTAAAAGGCTACATTGGGATTGTCAAAGTTACTTCTTTATAAATAATGTATTAAAAAACAAGCTTCAAAAGTGACTTGACTTGAGAATGACCATTAGTAATATTTAAAAATAAGTTCAAAACACTAGGTGCAATGTATGTAACATGGCATCACATTGACTTTTAACCTTTTGGATCATGTTTCTGTGAATTTATCTATTAAAAAATGTAAATACAGCCAGGGATTTAGCTCAGTGGTTCTGCTGCCTGCGTTGCAAGCGCAAGGTCCTGAGTTCAGTCCCCAGTACCAAAAAAAAAAGTAAATACAAATCTTCTAAATATTGTAATGACTAAAATTAAGTTCTTAATGTTGTTTCATAATAGCTTGTAAAATAACTTCTTATATTGGCAAGAAGCAAGTACTATGTATATTTAAGGTTTTAAAATTATTTTAGCATATGTATCTGTAATACCCATATATACTTAATATACCCTGAACTACATGTAAACGTGATAAGATATTATGTCTATTATGTAAGATATTATGTCTTTGGAAATAAAGAAATGTCAGTTGTTAAAACTACAGAAAATGGCAAATCTTCAATTTTTTTCCTTTATATTCAGAAGGTAAGCTCTTTGACGAAGTAAAAGCAATAAGAAGTAGAAGTTTTGCAGTACTTCTGGTATTCTGCAGTATTCTTACCTTTTCCCTCTTAACTCACATTTTATGTAGAGTTAAGAAAACTAATCTTAACTATTATGTTTTGGAAAAAGTGGAAATAAATTAATTCTTTTTTTTTAACTCAGATAATGAAACTGCTGTTTATACATTAATGCCAATGGTTATGGCTGATCAACACAGGTGAGTATTTGTTTAATAAATTTATGCTTTTTGAAAAAGTATGACGTTTTCTAAATGTTATACACACATAAACACACACACACATACACACACACACACACACACACACACACACGTGCTCATAATAGTTTAGGCATAAGTGTCCTGGGCAAGTTATTTAATTTTTCTATTAGATTTTTTTGTTGTTGTGAAATAAAGGACAAAATTTTCTAAGATCTATAACTAAGCTGTAAGATTTTTTATTGTAAGATACTTTTTAAATGAATAATCATATGTTAAAATCAAGTGCTTGGTTGCTGACCAACATAGAAAAAACACTTGGTTTCTTTTAGAGGTCACTACTGATCTCTAGAGCAAAAGGTTAGAGCTAAGGGGTGATTTATTTCCCTTACGTGTGCTCATCTTTTGATGGTTTTTAAATTAATATAGGGTTGAGTTTTTTTTTTTTTTGTACCAGGGTTTGAGCCTAGGGCCTTCACACTGAGCTATATCCCCAACCATTTTATTTTTTATTTTGAGACAGAGTCTTGCTTAGTTGTTAAGTTGCCCAAGCTGGGTTTGAAGTCATAATCCTCCTGCCTCAGCCTCCCAGAATGCTAGGATTACAGATATATGCCACCATGTAGGGCAATGAGGATGCTTTTTTGTAGAGGCATGTATGAAATACAGTTATCTGCCTTTGTGAATGGGTCTTTATAGTTGTAATAATCATCACTGGGTAGTTTGGTATAAAGAGAAGAAGGTGAAGAGAAACTTTTGAAACAAGTTAAAATAGAAATTATTTTTTGCTTTGAATTTCCTTAAAAATGTGACTTTTTTTTTTTTCGGCTAAAATAGGTGCAAATTTTTGGCAGGGTAGCAACCAGATCTATTCTTTTTATTTCTCAAGAATCTAGTAAGATACTGTGTTGTCTGAGAACAATGAAAAGAAGCTGAGTCCTCTTATTTAAGAGGAAGCTCTTATTTAAAAGAAACTGAGCAGACCACTATGTGAAAAGCACAGCAGGGGAGTTAGTTTAGTTCTTAGCATTGAATGATAGTACAGAGAAACTTTGTAGTTCTGGCCAATTTAATCTCTATGAAGGAAGATCCGAACATTTTTTTGATTCCATTACTAGCATCATTACACTTTCTGTTTTATCAGTGCAGCTTATAGTTTTAAGGTCATTTTTCTTTTCCTGCAGAAAACAAAAATTTGGGCATGTATACATTTAGATTTTATGTCTTTTCTATTGGAATCTTTTTTAATTGTTGCTATTCTTGTTAAAATAAATTTGAAATGATGGCAAAACTTAAAAAAAAAAATCTAGTGAGAACTGAAGCCAACTTTCTCTGTTAGGTGTCCTCTGAGCAGGTAACATAGCATTGTCTGTGTGGGAGTTGAAGAAATCTTTAGCACTAGTTTATTGGTCAAGGCTATT